CCTGGCTGCGTCCCTGGCAGCCAGGCTCCCCGGGTGTCCCCCGGGAGCGGCCACGCCGCGGTGAACGGACTGGAAGATTTCCAGCGCCTGCCACGCCCCTTCGGAACCTGGGGCTCCCCCTATCCCCCCACCCCCGAATCCACACCCTGACGGGCGGGGCAGGGGGAGGGGTGGCCTCAGGCCCGGAGCAGGCGGGGCGCTCACGCGGCCAACTCTCCCCTCGCGGGGACCAGCGGAATCCTTAGCGACCAAAGGAAGCGGACTATTGACGCACGCTCTGCTCCAGAGGACTCTCCAGAGAACTGTGCGGAGTGAAAAAGGTTACGTGCCATGTGGATCCATGTCTTTATTTTTAAACGTATATTTTTACTTCAGATTGGGAGAGGGAGAGAAACATCAATGATGAGAATCATGGATCGGCTGCCTCCTGCACAACCCACACTGGGGATGGAGCCCTCAACCCGGTTATGTGTCCTGACCAGGAATCCAACCGTGACCTCCTGGTTCATAGGTGGATGCTCAACCACTGAGCCATGCTGGCCAGAATCCATTTATATAAAATTCTTGAAGTGGCAAAAATTACAGAAACAGAGAATGGATCAATGGTTACCAGAAGTTACGGACAAGGGGAAAGGTGATGGGACTGGAGGATGTGGGAAAGGGGCAGCATGAGGGAGGACCTTTGCAGAGATGAAAATGTTCTGTATCCATGTCATGTCCTGGTTGGGGTGCTGTACTAGAGTCTTGCAAAATGCATCCACTAGGGACAACTGGGTAAAGGGTACTTGGGATCTTTTATTGCTTACAACTGCATTATCTATATTAATAAAAGGGTAATATGCTAATTAGACCAGGCATCTTCTGGACAAAGCCATGGTCGGGGGGCCGAAGCAGAGGTGGTCAGGGGCGATCAGGCCAGCAGGGGAGAACAGTTAGGGGCGATTAGGCAGGCAGGCAGGCAGGCGAGCTGTTAGGAGCCAGCAGTCCCAGATTATGAGAGGGACGTCTGACTGCTGCAGGGATCAGGCCTAAACCGGCAGTTGGACATCCCCCGAGGGGTCCTGGATTGGAGAGGGTGCAGGCCGGGCTGAGGGACACCCCCTGCCCTGTGCATGAATTTCATGCACTGGGCCTCTAGTATACAGAATAAGTGCACGGGCTTCTTGATGATGATCACTAATCTCAATATCTTTCTTCTCAGAGTATTGAGAAGTAACATGGATGAAAGTAAGATCTTGCACTAAAATACCAGATTTGACAACAAGAGTTAATCCTAACTTGTACATGTCAAGTAAAGGTCAAAGAAGACAGCTGAGAAAAACCCTTCTCTTCTGAGCAACGTGGTCGATACGGTAAAGAAGGTCTATTTATTTCATATGACAGCACATTTCACAGGATATGTACAGAATGTATACCACTGACTGTAATATATACTTCTATAAAGTACAGTTATAAATATCATATGCCACATAAGCAATAAAGTTCTTACATATAAACAGCAATCTATTATCGAGAACAAAGAATTCACAGAGAGCCTTAGTGTCTAAATTCTGCTCTGCTTCTAATAGAACTGGTGGATATTTCAGTAAGACACAGAATAATGGCCAGTTATTGGCAGCGTACCTTTAACTTCCATAGCTTTGTGTACTTTCAGCAACTTGCTGAATAGTTTCCGATAAAGGCCACGGTGCCGCTCGGTGTGTGTGTTTCAGGCAGTAGTTCAGGTTCACCGGGAGACTGCTCACAGAGCCGCTGTTGTGGGTAAGGAACTGTTTGTCTAATAGAGAGTAAATACCACACACTAATCACATAGAAGCTAAAGCCACAGTTTGGACAAGTTAGTTCACACTTGAAGCATATCGCTTAGACTAGAGGAATACTGCCGTCTGAGATATACTGATGCTGAAATGCTTAGAACCCCAAAAAGCACAACAGAAAACTCACAAGCTCCCGGCTGTTAACAGAGGATGACGTCTGTAAATAGAGGTGACAGCATTTAAGCAGCTAGAGAAGAACTCTGCCTATGGATTTGCTCTCTGTGTGAAGTGCAATGCAGTTCTGTGCTTTTCCACTTTCTTACCACGGACCCTGCTTCCTGCCTTCTCCGACGCACATCAGTGAGGTCCAATGAGGACGCGGGGTTTCGGTGGACACACACAACGCTCTATGGAAAGGCGCGTTAATGTAAGTCTTATGGGTACAGATGACTTTAGCTTAAACTGACAACTGCTCACGGATTTTCTGACTGGGATTAATGATATCAAAATACTACATTCTTAAAAGATTCCGTGTACTTCAGAAAACGAACAGAAGCGGGGTCAGTGGGTGCAGCAGAGCAGGAGAGGGAATCCGCGGCCAGGAGGCGCGGGAGAGCTCACAGCAGGACTGGTGGGCCCCAGCCCCTCAGGGCAGCCCCAGTTCAGAGCAAGCCGCTGCCCCTGCTCTCCCTGCTGGGGAAGCCTGGAGCAGGGACTGGGGGTGGAGGAGGCAGCAGGCAGCACACACTGTCATGTAGAGAGAGAGGACACTTGGTGCTGAATTCCTCACTGAACCCATGGCCTGTGCCTGCGGACACACGGCCATCGGCTCCTTGGAAAGGGCTGGAGTGTGTGCGGGACAGTGACTGCGACACGTGCTTCCAGCTGCCAGGAGCCGTCCCAGAGGGAAGGCCCGGGGCCTGGAGTGGGGGGTGCCCAGGTGTGCGCGCACGCGTGCAAGGAGAGAAAATGCTGTTTCAGGAGTAAGGGTTATTTTAGTTTTGGAAAGAAAATTAATGTCCAAATTTCACTCCCAGTGGTCCTTCAGATAATGAAATATTGAAAAAAGAACTCAGAACTTTTAGATACAGATTTGGTCCGAGTCATGCCCTAGAGTTTAGGTGAGTGTTAGACTGTGTGTGCGCATACACCACACGTGTGCGCATGTGTGCACTCACTCCCTCTAGCAATGCCTCTCAGAGTCCGGTTCAGCGTCCCGCCCCGTGGACAGCTCTTCGGTGACTGCTCGTGAGGGCGGAGCCGGGCCAGCGGGGAGCTGCGAGTCTTTCTGAGATTCGTGGGGGCCTCACGAGGATCTGAGTGGGGTCTATGTCCCAGAGTAGTTCTGAGCACTTTTTATGGCTACTGCTCTGTTATCCAAACAGAAACACACCAGAACTCCAGTTAATGAGAAGGGTTTCCCCTATTTCCAGTATACACATACTCCAACTCTGTACACGTGACACAGTGGTATTTCTTGACATCAGTGCAGGAACAGGGACTATTGCACGTAATGAATAACAATGCCCAGTTCTCTCGCTCTGCCCAGCACACGGAGCGCTGTCCCCTGTGGGCTATCTTTCCGTGAAGTCTACAGTGGGAGCCACGGGGGCCAGAGCGGTGAAAGGGTCGGCTGGAGGGGCGGGGCCTGCGGGGAGCGCAGAACCGGGAGGCGGGGGCGGCCTCCGCGAGGGCAGCACACAGGTGGGAACACCTGTCCCTTGACCCCAGTCATCCCCAAGGGTCACGCCTGGGCCGGAGGACGGGCCTGGCCGAGGGCCCAGGGAACCTGGACAAGCTGCCTTCAGCTTGGCGCTCACACCGAAGTCCTCCTCTTCCTCGAAGGTGACCCACCCCCTTGGGGGGCTGGCGCTCGCCGTGGCCGTGGCCGGGTCCTGCTGGTCGGAGCTGTCCTGGAAGCCGGGGGGCTGAGCAGGAGGCGTGCCGCTGCTCTGGCCCCGAGGCCCGGGAGTAGGGAGGAGAGGGCAGGGGACAGGCTCCACGGGCTGTGCTGCCGCCTCTGCGTCCCTGGACGGGGCTCTGAACGGGTTCGTCCTGCCGGCGAAGAGGTCGGTGCCAGGGAAGGTCGGGGCAAATGGGTTCGGAGAGCAGCGCACGTTCTCCTGGGATTGGCTCCGCATGGGAAGTGGAGGCAGTGTCGGCATGCAGCTCACAGAACTCAAAATGCTGATGTTACTTGATGTTGCAGGAGGCAGGGGGACCACCCCCTTGGGGCCCAGGGTGAGGACAGGGGCAGGGTGCACAGGCGGCCGGGCCTGTGACACGGCCAGCAGACTAAGTGACAGGTCTTCAAACGGGTCGCTCTTCGACGGTGATTCCAGTCTGACCGCGGGGACGCCGTTGGGTCTCACCTGGAAAGAAACAGCACCGAACCGTCAGAAACACATTTAAAGCGACACATTCTCTGTCCCTGGTCCCTGAGCTGGCTCTGTCTCAACTGCTCTCGATTTGGGGGCAGGGGTACAATTTAGAAAACAGGAGCAGCTTGAGTCCTGCTGCTCTGGCGGGTTAAGATAACAGCCAACAGCTCCCTCTTGAAAAGCTCCGCTGAGGAAGCCACTGTAAATAGAGCTTGTTTCGATCAGGAGTACTGAACGAAATACGCCGGGGAGGGAAGCGCAGCCGCACTGAGCTCGGCGCCGTCTCCCAGGAAACAAGCTTTGGTCCCGGCCACAGGCAGAGCAGCTCACCGGGCCCTCGGTTTTAATGTGAAAACTAGGTGGATGGCGGGATGTTAATGCCTAATTTAGAAACAAAACAAACAGGCCACTGGGTTGGAAAGAACAGGAGAGGAGAATGTTAGCTCTAGACGTGCAATGTAACACAATGGGGCGCTGCCAACATGAATTTAGCTGTTAAGCCGACAACTGAAGGTTCATGGGCCGCTGCCAACCAGGGCGGCAGCCCCCCTCCAGCGTCCACGGGCCTCGCAAGCAGGGCCTCGGGCTGAGGACAGGGAAGGCCGCGCCCGGAGGACAGGGAGGGAAGTGAGCAGCTTCAAGTACATGAGTGTCTTACTCAGTTGGCCCACAGCATACTTTACACTTGAGTAAGTGTGTTTTTCCTCAAACAATGACAATAAATTTGTAGAAAATGAGAGCGTGAACATGTCTGACTCTAAACTGTATTCTGAGTAAAGGTAAGTGGGCTCGTACATGGAAATTACTTCAGAGACAAATTGATCCGAGGCATCGGGAAGTCAGTCAACCCCATCGGCCAGTCACGCCTGGGTGGCTTATGGTTAACCCCACAAAGCAGACCAGGGCCCGGCCCGGTCTCCATGGCGACACCCCGTCCACACCAGACCCCACAGGGAGGACTGATGGGCTGAGCGGTGTGGGAGGGACTTTAACTCACCCTGTTATGAAATTTCCATCTCTCTACCATCCTTACTAAAAGCAATCTTGCAACTAAAATTATTTGAAAACATTTTTTTCCAAAAAAAACCCAAGAAAAAATTTAATTATGCCAAGAATCAATTTAGTTTTGCCAAAGAGACTTTCATATACATAAAGCTTACCTTACTGAAGTTATAAGTTTTAGTCTTGTTAATTTTCATTAAAAAGACAAAGCAAAATATCAAAGTATAAACAAGAACTAAAATGGTTCCTAAAAATTCAAAATACTAAGAAAAAAAAGCAGGTTTGATGATATGAGAACAGAGTTTATTAATGTGACAGGTGGCTTTAAAAATGGGTGAAACTTAGATGTATGAAGCAGAAGATCCATACATCTCTGCGCTACGACAGATGAGAAGCAGGTAGGAGGTGGAGAAACAGTCCAATACCTGTTACCCTGACGGCCGCTCCTGCTTTGAGAGAAGGAACACAGACAGCAAAGGAAAGAGTTAGGAGACGTCCGGAGACAGCAGCAACCCTCGCGATGCGCTCTCCAAGCCATGACGTTTGCAGGTCACAGCGAGAGCTCAAGCAACAGTTCCAACTTAGTCATTTTGAACAAAAAGTGTGTTGCTGAATTAGGGCTCAAAGTTCAATTTTATCTGAGGTTGATTACTAACCAACGTATTTAAAGTTTATTCCAAAAATAATAATCCAAATAGGTTGTCAAAGCTCTAAAATATTCTAAGCAGCCCATCATGGATCAAATGTTTGCATCCCCCCCGCCCCCAGCCCCATTCAATGATGAGAGAGAGTCATGGATCGGCTGCCTCCTGCACGCCCCACAATGCGGATCAAGGCCGCGACCCGGGCCTGTGCCCTGACGGGAATGGACTGTCATCTCCTGGTTCCTGGGTCGACGCTGAGCCACACCGGCCGAGCTCACTGTGCTTTTATGTTTCAAATACTTTGCAGATTTTGGGCAGAATTAATAAAGACATAAAAGTTACTGAATGTTCAATTCTAAGGCTATTTCATATTATCAAAATATCAAATATTGTATTAAAAACCTCATCTTTTTAAACTTATAGCCACTGCAGAAGATTTTTAAAGTTATAAGTGTTTATTATGTTTTGAAGAGGCATTATTCTTATGGTTCAAAATCCAAAAGGACACAAGGTAAAAGACTTCCCCCTTCCTCCGGCCTCCAGCATGTACTTCCCGGGAACCACTCTGTGAGCCTCCACAAGGACAGTCTACAAAGAGCAGGACCCTCAGCCCCCAAGAGAGGGGCGTGCAGTTGGTTGAGCATTGTCCCATGAACTGAAAGGTCGCCGGTTCGATTCCCAGTCAGGGCACATGCCCAGAACGGTAGGCTACCCATCCATGACATCAATGTTTCTCTCTCTCCCTCTCCCTGCTCTCTCTAAAATTCAA